AATAATGAGCGGGAAGAAAAAAGAATAATCAGTTGGACAGTAGATAGTATTTGACATTGAATTTAAATTTGTGCAGATTAAAGTTGTCTGGAAAGCATGGAGCCGGCAGGGCGTTTCACAAGTGAGAAGTGCGAGAAAAGAAACTGTTAGCATCGAATTTATGGTTACATCTAGCCAGCTCCATTTTAAATTGATGAAATCTCAACGCTTAAATTCAAAAAGTCTAGGTACCGTAGCGAAGAACTTATCCGAACAATAAGCCTGAAGTTATTTATAGAAAAGACAGAGAGAGGCAGCGGAAAATCAACTGAAGCCAAGCCACCATATCAGGATCAATACTATTGCTGATTCTTCTTTGGATTTTATCAAGAAGCTCAAGGTAAATAGCAGGATATCGGACTATATTTGGCAGCAATATTCTAAGCATGGACGAATAGTAGACTTTTAGTTATAGAAGACGGATTCTGAAGAATAAAAATTGTCTCGTCTGCCATAGTGAACTGACTTTCTTATTAGCTGATCTAGCAATGCATTTAATAACGCTTTCACTTCATGTTAGCTTAGAACTTGCCTTATTTACACTGGTAGTCATAATATTAGTAATATTATCTTGAATTTTTATTAGATGAGGCATTGTCAGTCATTATTCGTTTTGAGTCGTATTTCTTTCATTCTAATTTCACTTGCTTTTTAAGTAGTCGTATTAATAGTAATATTATCTAGAATTCCACTGTTAGATATAATATTGTCAACCATTATTAATTTTTGAGTATCATTTCTGTCTTCGGTAATATTTTTTTTATTTCTCATTGCGACATGTACACACCGTCAGCATATGTCCTTAGTAAACAATAAAATGTCTATTTATCCGTGTGAACTCGTTCCTTTCAGAACGAATCATTGTCTGGCTTAGTGCCAGGCTCAACGAAACTTAAGAAAAATATATTGCATTGGCTGAGCGTTGGTTATACAACTTGGGTTTCATGTGATCGTTGGAGTAAGTTTAGCTTTTTGATTTTTTTTTTAACAGGCAAGAAATAAATTAGTTTGATTTTAAGGAAACATGTCCATTGATCGAATATTGATCATGGAAAGTTTTTCAGTGCTATATTCATTGTTTATTTTTCAAATCAGCAAAACACTAGCGATAAAATATTTCTTTTCGTGTAAAGAACAAAATGCTTAGTCACAGATCATGGTTGGTGTCCTTTGTGTTTGCAGTAAAAAGATTGAAATCTTGCAAACAGGGCGTGATCTTTGATTTTTCCGCCTGTTTTCTTTCTTCAAGGGAATTGTTCTTTGCTGTTTCTTTTTCCCTTTTCAGTTAGAAATAAAAATTCAACGTGTATTAAATTGATGAAAAAATAAAAAGGAAAAACATAGTTGATACGTTAACCTTTTTTTTTTGCTACGAATCAGAAACCGTGGCAAATCGCCAAAGCTCCTTTTACATCTAGCATTTTGTTAAGGTCAGAGATTCAAATCTATGCTTTTTTAACGCAATGAAATAAAAAAGGTCTGTTTGCTTATACTGAGATAATGAATTGCAATTCCCTTCAAGTGTACACAATGTATACATTCACACATATCTTCATGTAATGCATATATATATATATATCAACATATATATTTACATACACGAAAAGAGAGAGAGGGTCTATAAAACAGAGGAAAATATATTTGTATTTGAATACAAGCGGATATAAAGATGAAATATATCAATAAAGTTATATATGCACACACACACATATATGTGTGTGTGCGCGTGTGTGTATAGTTTCTATATGTGTGTATACATTATCTAATATGTATTTACGGACTTTTGATCAATAAATTCATAAGTTGTCACGTAGATATATGCATGAATTTCATCATGAAATCTCACTGAATACTGTTGGTTATATGTGATAAATATACAAAATTAATTATGTAGATTGCCAAAAATTAATTTATGTTAAAATGTTTATATTAACTATGCAAACCTAATATTATATTTTTTATCAAGGGCGGAATTTATTGATGCCCCCCACACATACACAGACATATAAGGGATAATTTGTCATCTTGTAACGGTCACCAAACTTTTCTCTGAGAGGTGACATTGATGACATACGTAAATATCCTTCATTAAATCACTATATATTTTTTTTAATTGTGTTCAACCCAAGCAAGGCAATAAAGCCACAGAGACGCAAGTGTTACTGATTGTGGAATAGTTAGAAACAGGAACTTTTCTAAGGATCCTGAACAGAGGAAGATTAATCATGAAGAGAGCAGGTACCGATTGAAATTGCATTTAATTTTGAGCAGATTAATTTTGGCCGGAAAGCAGGGTGCCGTAACGCAGTTCCACAAGCAAAAAGAGCGAGAAAAGAAACGGTTAGAATTTGAATTTACGGCTACACTTAGCCGGTTCATCTGTACTCTCTAGTACTGTGCTTAAATTTGGAGAGTCTAAATACCACAGAGCAAAGCTATTCCGAATTATTATCATGGAAGAAAAGTATTTATAGAGTTTTAAAGAATTTCAACTGTTCGTTTTTTTTTATGTTTATGCAGTGTTCTAGATTTCAAAGTTCAAAGTTGAAATGATTTAAATTCAAAGAAACACATATACATACTCAGAGACAACCTAACGCCAGGATGATGGTCTCAGATGAAATTGAAAGTTCCTGGGAAAATAAAAACTATTTAAAAGAAAATTTTGGTATTTTTCTAAATCAATTTTCTAAGTCTGCCCAAAATATTAATTCGTGACCTTGAAAGGATCAGAACGAAAGCAAATCGACATTATATATATATATATATATATATAGTCATCGAAGAAATTATTCGTATACCCATCAATTTTGAATATTTTTATCCATTTCACAGAATCTAACGTCCGTATGATGCCAGGTTTTTTTATATGTTAATAAGGACAAAACAAAGAATATAAAAATAAATTTTCAAAACAACAGGTTAAATCCAACAAATTTGACAAGTGGATTATGCAAAATAGGAAAAGACAAAATTCTTTGTACAGTAGAAAATATCGTTTTAAATTGATTGATTTGTGTAAGTATAAGTAATTTATTTTTATTTTTTTTAGAATATTTGAGATAATTCCAGCAAAGAACATCACATGGTGCATAGAATGTCGCCATTGTTATTCTTTCGTTAACAACACAATGGTGAAGACAAAGGAGCTTAGTGTTGACTTGAGACAGAGAATTATTAACTTCCACAAGGCGGGAAATAGTTACAGCCCTCTTTCAAAGCTGTTATTTATCCCTAAATCTACGGTAAAGTCCGCTATAAAGAAGTTTAAACAGATTGGAACGGCAGAGAATTAGCCTGGGCGTGAAAGAAAACCCAAATTGTCACCGAGAAATGCACGAAAACTGTATCGCGAAGTTAATATAAACCCAAGAGTTGTTTTAAAAAAACATCGCCAAATATTTGGGGTTAAGCGTAAGTACTCGCACAATACAACGATGTTTAAATAGAAGTGCGTTGTATTAAAACCAACCATGACGAACCCCTCATTAGAAACCATGTCACATTCTTGCTCGGTTTAATTTTGCCAAAACGTTTTTTGGACAAAGTAAAATGTAAAATGTAAATTTTGTTGTGTTTAACCTATTGTTTTGAAAATTGAGTTTTATATTCCTTTTTGTGCTTATTAACATAAAATACATAGCATCATACGGGCATTAGAATCTGAGAAATGGTAAAATATTCACAATTGATGGGTGTACGAATAATTACGTTGTTGACTATATATATATATATATATATATATATATATATATATATATATATATATATATATATATATATATATATATATATATATATATATATAAACAAATCAGTTTTCATGCAAACGTGAAATCTTCAGTGACGAAGTACATGAAACTCCGAGTTGAGCTATCGACGCTGGAAATTATGCATATTCACTAATATACACTTAATGACAATATTATGCAACATTGTGTTTTTATAACACCTGAGAAAGAATTATATATGTACGTGCAAGTATATGTGCGTATATATACATGTTTGCTATCATACCCTCTTCTCTCTCTCTCTCTCTTTTGATATATATATATATATATATATATATATATGAAGAAATATATTTTTAAGGTGTGGTATATTTATGGGATAAAGTGCTCAATATCAGAGATAGAGCATATGTAAATAAAAATATAAAGGTGAACATTGAAGTCAACACTTAGAGGCGACAGGCTGTTTCATACTGGACGCAATCGTCAGGCTGTCCGACAATTGCTTCCATCCATCATGAAACAGCCCATCGCCTCTCAGTATTGACTTCAATGTTCACTATCCGCTAAAAACAACGTGTCAGTAATAAAATCTGTCGGATTAATAAATAAAAAAAATATGCATCAATTCTATAGCAATTGCTTTGGTTAAGGTAGGAAATGAAATTTCATAGATATGAATGTTTGAAGAGATTAAAAAAAAGATTTGCGTTTATAAGGCGCTATTCAACAGTGCTTGATGGGCAACACACTTCGTGGCAGCGTCGGATCTTGCATCGGTTCCTTCCACCATGGGAGAGTCAGGTTCGAATCCTGCTGGAGAGCACATAGTTTTCTTTTATAAGATTTCTTGAATGTATTGTGTGGATGGTGTAATGGAAATGGTAGTTGAAAGTAAATTAGGCATACCGAGTTCAATTCGCGCTCGATTCTGTTTTGTTCCCTTTGAATTATACGCATGGGAATAGTATGATTTTATTTATTGATTGATTAGTTTTTTACGGTTTGTCAACCGTTTGCATGTTATTTAAAACAAGAAAATATTTTTACATTCTAAGAATTTCTTGCCGATAATAATCATTTACAGATACAATCGCTACTAATTATACTATAGCTGGGGGAGGGAGGGAAAGGCTGGTTTCATACGTTTTCCAATGTTATTGGTGCGTAACACGGATCGCCGATTTGCAATTCCGAGCCGTTATCCATTACACCACACACATATCCAAGCTTTCAGCACCTGGTATTCCCAAACAGTAACTTGTCTAAGGACTGACCAGGCTCGACGTTGCTTAACTTCGGTGATCGTACGGGAACCGTTGTTTTAAAGTGATACAGACGTAAGCCGGAAATTGCATGAAACTATCTTCCCCCAGTTATGAATTAAATAACATGGCGGACTGTGTTCGCTTGCCTTGAGGTGGCAACCAATCTAGGAGAAGGAAAACAAAATTTTGAATAATTCCTAATTTCAAAACAAGCCTGAAGGAAGATGGGCTCCCTTAAGCTATCTTGCTCTAAAAGCACAGCTTTTGCTATGGACACAGTAAAATACGGTGGCTTTATAGACCTGATAGATTCCGACACACAGAGGCACACACAGACAAAGACCCCCCCATATATATATATATATATATATATATATATATATATATATATATATATATATATATATATATATATATATATATCATTTCTTATACACATATTTAATTGTATATGTGCAGTTTTATTAATAACTATCAGTATCTATATTCAGGTTTAGAACTATTGAATTCCTTTCTGCGGTAAATGTCAAGTTGTGTATCTTGTTTTTACAGTGGAAGAAATATTCCCGCGAAAGAAAAGGAAAAACAACTTCTTTTGTGCATCGACGCAGTGGAAGTGGATCGAGCGATTCGTATTTGTTATTCAAACAAAATGCATCGACAACTGAATCTTCAACACATGGATATTTATAAAATTCTAGTTGCATTTTCCGCAGTCAGCCTTTCTCTACTGTTGACACCTTCGTCACTTTTTTTTATCAAATATCAATCATTTTAATATTTAACTTTATTTCATCGATAGAAACACACCGACTTACATAACTATCCACCTGCCTACACAACCAAACCAAGCTACCTATCATCATGCCTAAATAAGAGATGTTAGCGATGACAATCAAAAACCTTACACTGGTAATACTCTTCGCCTGCTGCTTTCTATGCAGTACTCTAGGTCAGGCTCTTTGTAGGGAAATTCTTGGAGAGATTTTAGGGTCATGGGAGAAAACTAAGGACACAGAGCAGAATTTATAATAATAATAATAATAATAATAATAATAATAAATATTTCCTTAAATATAGCATGAAACTGTCGAAAACCACATTATACTTAAAACATACCAAAGGTAAAGCCACTTCCAATTGTTTGAATATCCGACGAAGTATCTTTCAAAAGGATCGCCCTTTCTGTTCCTTTCACATGAACTAAATAGTAATAACAATGAATACAAAGGAAAAAAAAAACATTCTAATCTCCTATTATACGTGGATGATATGAAACATTTTGCTAAAGACGACAATAAGTTGACGCGTCTCCTCAATCTTGTAAAATGTTTCAGTGACGACATAGGTATGGATTTCGGATTAGATAAATGTACAAAAGTAATATTCAAGAAAGGGAGAATTAAAGAAACCCACTCAATTGATCTAGATTTTGTCACAAAGATTAGGGAACTAGAACAAGAAAAATCCTATAAGTACCTCGAAATTAGCGAAGGAAGTGGAATAAAGCATATACCTAGATGAAGGAGAATGTAAGAAAGGAATACTAGAGGCGTGTGCGTCTGGTACCGAATACCGAGCAGAATTCAAAAAAGAGAACATCAGCCATAAACATTTTGGCTGTCCCTGTGATGCAATACTTGGATCATAGCTGATATTAAGCGAATGGACGCCAAAATGAGAAAGCTTCTCACTTGCCAAAGCATACATTATCCTAAGACTGATGTTAATCGTATGTATTTGCTCAGATCCGAAGGAGGCAGAGGATTAGTTCAACTAGAACTGACTTACAAAACCACAGCAATTGATCTTCAAAGGTGATTGGATTGGATGATGATCTGTGTCAAAGAACACGAAAGAAATAAAAAAAATATTCAGTAATAAAGGAAAGGAAGAAATTCAAAAGAGAATTTCAGGTGGAGGAAGAAATGTGAGTAAATCACAATACACCAACTGCAGCGGCAAAGAAGCTAAAAAGAAAGAAAAAAAAACAAATGCAATTGACCAAATGCCGAAACGATGGCAACATAAGCTTCTTCATGGCCAAATACTTTACCCGTGTACCAAAATAGTAAATGTACACAAGCTCCGCACAAGTCAGTGGTTACGTAACGCAGGGTTAAAAGCTGATACCGAAAGCTTTATTCTTGCTGCACAGGACCAATGCTTGCTAAGTCGAAATTACCAAGCACACATACTGGAAAGTTGTCTTAACCCAAAATCTAGCTTCTGTGATAAATTTTCAGGAACAATTGACCATCTTGTATCAGGTTGCACAGTGTTTCCCCCACTGAATATAAAACACGGCATGATAGGAAGAGCCAAAATCTGCACTGGAAAATATGCCCCCTGGTATTAACATCACCCAAAACAATTAAAGCTAATTACCCAGACATCGTGTTCAAATACCATAAGAACAAAATGTGCCTTCTAATGGACATGGCAGTCCATGCAGATTATAATGCTTCTTTGAAGATCTTCAAAAACTATCAAAATACAAGGATCTTTAAGTGGAAATCTAAAAATGTGGCACATGAGGACATCGATAATTCCATTATTAGTTGGAGCCCTCGGGTTGATTGGAAAAGGTTCCGATAGACTCATTGAAGGGATTCCTGGTAGCCCATGTCTTAAAGAAATACAAAAAATTGTACAGCTCACACATTACGAAGGGATTTATCAAAAATGTGTGAGATATTAGGCTGTTTTTGTTTGTTTTGTTGTTTTTATATAAAAGTGATTAGTGGAAAATGGGATTTTTCTATCAACCCAAATCGAACAATACAAGCAAATTGCCCAGACATTATTATTAAATACGGAAAAGAAAAACTTCTACACAGATTGAAATGAGCGTATCAAGTGATAAAAATATCACTGCGTATGTTTTTGAGAAACTCAGCCAATGCAAAGACATGAAGATGGTAATAGAAAAAAAATGTTACGGTTATAAACTAAAATTATTCCTGTAGTGGTTGAAGCTTTGGATGTGATTAAGAAAGGAATTCAAGAATAAATAAATAAAAAATCCCTGGTTCACCATCTCTTCAGGAAATCAAAAAATTTTTCTAACAATCACAGCTCCAAACCTGTGACAAGTTTGTCTATTTAAGTTGTTTTGTTAATAGTCTAATTAAGTGGAAACAACAAGGTCATTGGCTATGACCCCAGAATGTGATTATAAAACGAATGCTAGTCATAATATAATATGTCTGGAAGAAAAAAATGTAATTTAATTATAAAGTTGAAGTCATGTACAGAATCATCCACATTTTCCGAAGAACCGAATACAGAAAACTTTTTCAAAGAGGGTGTCATGCCACAACGTCTCCAAATGACTCTCCTTAGGTTTTGAATTCAGAGTTTTCCATGCCCTAGATTCCATGCAAACCAAGGCTATAGAGATTTATCCATAGTTTGGGGTAGGGACAAGAGATCAATTTATCGCTTTCCCAAGGTTTTTTGCGCGAAGCTGAATGTAACGAATTCGATCCGATTTCAAACTCAACTCTCCAATGTCTTGATGCAAACCCCCGTCAAATGCAAAAATGAGTCTAACAGTAATTGTCCAATATTTTAAAGCAAAACGGATAAAAGTTATTCCCTTTGTGGTTTTACTATGTCTGTATTTTTTTTTACTTCTGCGGATTAACTGCACCCAGATGTGTTTAATTCTCACCAGGTCCTTCAATTTATTTATCAAAAGATTTTCAGCTGATAGTTTTTCAGACTCTCTCCAGTGTATTTTGATTTTGACTATTAATAAATATGGCCGAATTACTACGTTAGCGGCTCGAAACGAGAAGTCGGCTAGTGCAGTTAGTGTCACTTTTGCGGAAATAACCTTGGAAGTGGTATGAACCAATCTCATCTTCTCTATCCTGCAGATATGGATCAAATAGTAAAGCAGACTGCACCCTGAAGCCGTGGTTGACAACCAGTCTATGAGAAAGAAAACTCTGAATTCAAAAACCTGTGTAATTCTAGCGTAGCGAAAACTATGCAGCTGTAGACAAGATCAAGGAGCTCAAAGGGATTCTATAATTTTGACCGCGTCATTGTATTAATATCGTTTTATATTATTCTCATCTCTTTTTCCTCTTGTGAAAAGATTTCTTCCGTAATAATAGAAACGGAAGATATTTTGTATTTGTTTTCATCTATTTGGTTAAGATTATTAGGTTTTAACAGTGATTTTATGAACCATTAAGGTTTCCTTTTTTATGTTCTGGGCATTAGTGTCGGCAAGAATTGTATCGATTAAGAAGAGGTGTAGATGCTCTGCAATGTCTTCTCGGAAATGGCCAGCTGCCGTGTTTGTTTGTATAACGCAGTAGTCATGTTAGCCAATCACGAACAGAAAGAAAACGAAGAAAGACATGTTTATATTACTGAGGATTCTTTAAGAGAGATCTTTAACATAAATCTGTGTAGAGAAACCGTATCTTCTCATAGCCTGGGTCAAGTACTTAGATTTGTGATGAGGGGGTGGGGATTACCGACGTAATATTTCGGGAAATCAAAGCGGCAATCTCGTAAATAGATGAACGGTGTTACGCTGTCCTTTTTTGAAATAATGTTTGATGATATGCGGCTTCGATTTGAGCGGGAAAGAACAGCAGTATTATTTACTGAACGGATTTCCTGTTCATTCGTAATCTTTTCCCTTGTCTCTCTTTATTCGCAGACACATTTCAATCCACCGAGTAATTTCGATAGAATAATAATTAAACCCATAGATTATTTTCTTCGGCAGTGAATTCGATTTTCACTGAAAGCTCCCATTTGTATGGCCATGTACCAGACAAAACATCGCCTTGTAAAAGTGGCTAGCAAGCTAATATCCCAATTGTCTTTTTCGAATGTTTTCTCGATGAAGTCATTTCTTCATTAACTTATCTAAATGCATGAAGTATTTTAATTATTAAGAAATCAGTCCCTTCATCAGTCTCGTAACCAATTAGTCGAAGAAACACTGCATGTACTGTGGACATAACAGCAATGATATGTCTACGACAAAATAGACTGAAGTGTTTTGGCCTCAGGTACCCTCCCGAAAGAGAGACATTGATGAAGAGAACAGCCTCTTGGTACACGATCACTTTATTTTCAATGCCTTTCAAAATTTATGCAAAGTATTAAAAGACGGGAAATTTCATTGGAAACAAAGAAAAAAGTGCTGAACTGCTATTTGGTATCAGTCCTACTATATGGCAGTAAATGCTGGACATTCTTTTCACATATGAAAAAAAAGACAATTGATAAGCTATTAAGGTCCGTTGTCACAAGTAAATAAGTTTAAAGAACTGAGAAATTTTGGATTGAAAATGTAACAACGAAATCCAAACACGCATTGGAGTAACGAAAGTTGGATATCAAAAGCTAAGCAAAGTAATAAGAAACATGAAAATATCGCTAGATACAAAGGAAATGGTGCTGGACTGCAATGTAATATCAAGCTTCCAGTATAGCTGTGGATAGTGGACAGTTTCCTTATAGATGAAGAAGAGACTTGAAGCAACAGTAATGTAATCCTGCACAAGGATGCTGAGAATGCAACGGGCGGAACATATGAGCAATGAACAGGTTTTAAGAAAAATAGAAACTAAAAAACACTTACACACACAATCAGAAAGAGATAGCTGACGCTTCTTGTACACATGTTGAGGAAAGAGGGCTTGGAGAATTTGACACTCACAACACACACAGAACGTATCGTAGGCAAAATGTGCAGCGAGAGGTATTGAGCTACCTAGCTTGGTGCAAGGATGGCGAATCGGTGGTTGGGTGGGGTGGGGTGGTGTGGATTGGTAAAAAATCAAATGTTTTCGAAGAGCTACAAAGAGTTGGAAAAAAAACACAATCGATCACGTTCTGAATCGACACGGCGCATGGAAGAAGTCACAAATAGAAACAAAAAGGAGGTGACATTTGTAGAGAACATAATGAGGAAAGAGTGCTTGGAGAATTTGATACTCTCAGAGAGAGAGAGAGAGAGAAGAAGTCCCAAAATAGTGCTTGCATTCATGAAATTCACTAGCTATATCTGGTACTGATAGATGTATATATATTTGCGTTTATATAATAAAAGTACAGATTTTTATGCATGCGCAAGGAAGTGCCTTTTTAATCGAGTTCACCCCAAGTAATATTGTATTTTATGTGTGTGTGTGTGTGTGTGTGTGTGTGTGTCTGTGTGTGTGTATCGCTGCGTGTTTTTTTTCAAGTTTTTCTTTCTTTTTCATTTTCTTTTTGTCTTATCTCCTTCCAATTTAAATAATTTTTTCTTCCTCTTTAATTTTTTAATTTATTTCTTCCGAGGTAAGTCCTTTTTCATTCCTTTCTTTCAATTTCAGTTTGTATCTGTTTTATTTGTTCTAGTTATATTCTTTCTTTCTTTCTTTCTTTTTTCTTTCTTTCGTTCTTTCTTTTTCAGTTTATTTTTGTTTCCTTTTCGTTAATTTTTTCTTTCTTTCATTGTAAAATTCTTTCTTTTTTTCTATGTCAGTTAACAAATCTATTCGTTTTCCTTTTTTTCATTCTTAGCGTTTTTTTATTTTTCTAGGTATACTCTTCTTTCTTTTTTGTTTTTGTTCTATTTCTTTTTTCTTTCTTTCATTTTTCTTTCTTTCTTTCTTTCTTTTCTTTCTTTCTTTCTTTCTTTCTTTCTGTTATTTACTCACACAGAGGTTCGTTCCGATTGTGAAAGACTAACCCGCTTCCCCACTCAGAGACTGCAACCTCCTTATGAAACTCATTAAAAGTCAATGAAAATTCTCTCTTCGAGGTCAACAGGGTCCGAAGCCTTCTTCAACGCATCTCTGTCTCGTGACGACCTCCACGTCTCACTCGAAACTCGTCTGAATTTCCTTTTAGTACCGGAAACAGAATCGATTGGATCGCCAGTCGTCGCACAAGAGTCAGCTACGATACAGTCATTTTTAAGTTACACCGATTATATCAGTTGTTTTAGGTATGTTATTTATTTATCTGCTGACTTCGTTTGGTACAAGGTTACAATATTGGGGTGATCACTAAGGATTCTGTTAACTGCTCTATCAGACATATTTTTTATACCATTGTTCAATCGATAGAATGCCAAAGAACCACTCAAAGTTGAGGCTTACTGAATGGGGTTGTTAAAAGTGGATAAAGGGAAACAGTAAGAAGTGTATATTATGAGGATATGTAGGATAGATAAAGCCTGAATCGAAACTTGAAGCGGTTGAAATAATCGAAGAAAAATCTCCCCTTCCTAATCATCACATAACAGCAAACATTCAGTTAGAAAAAGTATCTGTTATTTTCCCAGTCGCTTAACTATTTAAGAATCAACAAATTTATAACAGCTTGTAATACATTCATTAGATACACGATGCGGAAATTCAATGAAGTTCCAGCCTATAAAGATTGCGTTCACTTTCGCACTGACCTTAAGAAAGGTAGAGATTCATCTCCCCCTACAAATGGGTTAAATAACAGAGAAAACTTGGCTCTCTATCCTTTTGGGAATTTTCGTTTTTTCCGGTACTTGGATATTTCTCCTTTCTCCATTGCCATTGGCAATCTGACTAATCAATGGCTGTGACTCTCCACTATGAGGGTACCGGGTTGGCAGTTTTCTGGTTGCTGCATCCGACTGATAGGCAGGATTCCGAACTCTTTGATAGTGTTTAGAGAGGCTGCGCTGATCAACAGTTGCATAATATCGAGGTATTTGTACTGATTTATCACGAATGTTTTCATATCCCCGCATGTAGCTTCGGTTGGCAACCTCTAGGCCATATTATGCAGTAACCTCAGCCAAGTTCTGGTCAGCTTGTATTGTCATTGACGACAGATAGTGATAATTATTTTGGTCGCTTTTTCCTCAAAACAATTGTCGTTAAGCAAATACAATGAATAAATAAATACGAAAAGACAAGTGATAAAAAAAATCACCTCCAACCCATTCAATATTTTGTTTTTCCATTATTTGTGATATCTATTCTAATTTCTGTAGTGTTACATCTTTTATTTTGCAACCTTCTCCGGATATCTTTGCACTTTGTTAAACAAATTTAAATTCTTCCATTGCTTCCAAGGAATTCACTGTTCCAGGCCATCTTCCGCTTTGCCGTAATGACGCTATGATACATATGCACGGCCTTTTATATCAGGGAAAACCTGCTCGTGGGAATGAGTATTCTCTCCTGAATCCCTAGATTATTGTTTCATGTGCTTTCGACTTTAGTTATTGCACTCTGTTAGCGATCTCTCTTTCATTTACCGCTCCCCTCCTCTCAGGGCTACAGTATATTGGACAAAATTTCTGCCAGTATAGAAAAGGTAACCTCTTTACACTCATCTGCTAACATTTTTGTGTTTGGTGATTTTAATGCTCATCATGATAAGTGGCTTAAATATTTTACGCTTACTGGCATTACTGGTATTAGGATTTCAATTTTTCCGTTGCTCAGTCTCTTGTGTAATTAGCGGATTTCCCTATTCATTCCCTTAATAGATCTGATCAATATACTTTGTCACTTGATTTATTTCTTACGTCCTTTCCTACTTCTTGTCGAGTTTCGAAGCTCTGTCTTCTTTGGAAATCGGAGCACACTCTAATATCTATTGATATTTCATTGTGTCGTGGTAGACAATTTTCCTCTGCAGAATCTATTTTAAAACTACCATTCGCCCATGATTTGTATATTTGCTGCTACATATGGTTCGGTGCGCCCGCTGTATATTTAGAGATTCTTGATAAAATCCAAAGAAGAATCTGCAAAATTATTGGTCTTGACCTGGCGTCTCGGCTTCACCACCGCCGTAATGTAGCTCCCCTGTACCTTTTCTATAAATACTTTCAAGGTAATTATTATGATGAACAGTTCACTATAGTATATGAATTTAAGCGCAGTACTAGATTGATAGTAAGGTCGGATAAATTCACATGTGATTTGCCTGGATGTAACCGTAAGTTCTATGTTAACCATTTCTTCTCTCACACTACTTATTTTTGGAACACTCTTCAGGCTTCATTCTTTCCAGCCAACATTAAAAATTTAAATGCAACGTCAATCGGCATCTACTGTCTTGATTAGTATTCCTTTCTTCTCACTATTTAATGTTTCTCTTTTTTTCTTCCACTTGTGCCTTAGTGGCTTTACTCTCTTGCATGGGGTGAAATGATTACAAATAAATCTATAATAACAAATAAGAATTCAAAACCACAAAGAAGGCAACGAGAAACCTCTTCAATATCTTTCTCAAGAAGACATAACAATTCAAAAATATTAAAGGAAAGCAGTCTGAGGGAGACATAATCTTCAACGCCCTGAAGGGGGATTATATAAAGAATAATCCATAGATAACTATATGGATTACATAATGATTTAAACATGGAAAACAAATTACGAAATAAAATGAACATGATGCGCAGTACCAGTCGACATAGGAGCACTGGGCATTATCATAGCTGAGTAAATTCTAGTTAAACTACATAAAAAATAACTGAAAGATTCGGAGATTACTCATTACCAATGATCATATGAAAACTGGGCAAATACAAGGCAAATTCTATGCAAGTAATGATCGTAATTTACGCACAGCATGGTGAATCGGCGTTCATCAAATAATTGCGAATTATCCAAGCTGGGAAGTTATCAGGTGGACTATTTAAACGAGAACTACCAATGTCTGAAGAAAGCGCAATGCTCGCAGTTAACCGATGATCGTGGGATTACTGAACATATTCACAGTATCATATATGTGTAAATCTCATAGTTTAGGAACAGTTTTAGTGCCAGTCATCATGGGAGCACAAGGCAGATTCCAGTAATACACGCACTGGATACATTACCAGTTATAAAGGAAATAATTTGAAACACAGAGGACATAATGAAGGCAAGATCGTCTTCAAGGCAGTGAATAACCTCCCCTAACGAGCTTGGGTAAATGGTTAATAGAATTGGGTTTAGGTTAGATAGCAAAAAGATAAACCTTAACATTTCTTATCGAGAAAAGTGTTCGAAAATAATTGTTCGAAAACAATTATTCGAAAAACATTTAGATGAAAATTAATTGAAAACACAATTAGACTAAATGATAATTATTCAAAATACCTATGTTTGAAATACGTATGTCGTCTTACTTTGGGAAAGTCAATACTGATTTACATAGAACTAATAACGTCCTTGAAGAATGGCATTGGGATTTTTTGCAGCACGTGTCATCCCATCATCTCACAATATGGAAATTCGTATACGCCTTTAAAAGAGGACAGGACGTGCAAGAAATTCATATTGCAAAAGGAAGAACAGGTTGCCATAATATCAAGAGCGCCAAGAAATACCGCGACGTAAATGGAAAACTTAGAAAAAAAAATTAAAGGATTTTACATTTCGAATAATTACATTTAGTATAATTGTCCTTTCGATTATTTTTCATTCAAACAATTTACAATTCGAAGAAATGTTTTTCGAAAAATTATTTTCGAACAATTTTCATATAATCAATTTACGTACTGTTCCGAGTAAAAAAAATATCCACACTCACAATCAAAAATGTATCGACACTCACAATGAAGACATGAATAAAACGATGCAGAGAAGCATATGGAAATAGCTTTGTTCACACATTCAAGATCACTCCTAAGAAGGAAACAAACAGATATAGGGATATATACAAACACGTCATACACACGGAGTAAAGTGTGTGCGTGTGTTTGTGTGTGTGTGTACGCACGCGCTCACGCAACGTTTTCTGCATATTGAGAGGCTCAGAAAATGTCATATCTTGCCGCCTTTTTCCATCTGCGCCCAGTTGCCCTATAAAGGGTGAGCGTATAACATCAACTCACCTTAACAGTCTATTGTTGGATTGAGGTCTATTGCCATCTGAGCCCTCAATCAGTCAGTGAGATTTCCTTTTTTAAATGAGACAAAGCGTGAAGTAATGGCCGTTCCAAAAAATGTGATGGGTGGTGAAGGATAATATTTTCTACGAAAAGTCCAGATGGGACCGTTTCTTTAGCATTTTTTCCACTTCAATTCACATCTTCCTTCCTTGAATGAGGGATGGTTTTTCATTCTTCACCCATTTAATGATTTTCATTGACTTGTTTCTATCTTTCTACCTCTGTTTACATCTGAATTTATCTCTCTTATTATCTGTTTTTCTCACAATTTCTTCTTGTTTGTTTCTTTTTTTCCATTCCTTTCTTTCTTTCTTAACATTCTCATCTTCCTTTCCATTTCTTTCTTTCTTTCTTTCCATTTCTTTCTTAATATTCTTTTTCTTTCTTTCGTTTTCTTTCTTTCTTTCTTTCTTTCTTTCTTTCTTTCTTTCTTTCTTTCTTAACACTCCATTCTTTCTTAATATTCCCTTCTTTCTTTCTTTCGTTCGTTCTTTCTTTCTTTCTTTCTTTCTTTTTCTTTCTTTCTTTCTTTCTTTCTTTCTTTCTTTCTTTCTTAACACTCCATTCTTTCTTAATATTCCCTTCTTTCTTTCTTTCGTTCGTTCGTTCTTTCTTTCTTTCTTTCTTTCTTTCTTAACATTCCTATCTGTCTTTCCATTTCTTTCGTTCTTTCTTAATATTCCACACTTTCTTTCTTTCTTTAAATCCTCGTCTTTTGTTTTAGAGAAAATGAGAACAAAAAGGACACTTATACTTAACATCTAAAAGAGACAGTTGAAATGTCTAGGGCACATAATGAGGAAAGAGGTTTAGGAAAATTTAATATTCACAAAACAGATTGAAGACAAGAGGGACAAAGGAAAACCATGCGTAACCTTGCGAGTTTGAATAAAACTGAATGGTGGAACAAGGTTTAAGCAAGATTAAAAAAAGATATATTTTATCAAGATCTACAAAAAAAAAAGGAAATTGTCGAGAGCCGTGAACGCCAACCTCCTGAAGAGACACATAGAAGAAGAAGATTATGGCATGGATGTAATTTTGATTTAAGAAAATAGTTAATTGGGCGAAAATAGTTAATTAGTGTCTTCTTTGGGGATAGACCAGCAAACGAAAATAAATGTTTACAGCATTGTAAAGTGACTCTACAATTACTGACAAGTGACTTGGTGCTCTTTATTCTTTGGGATGATTGCAACAGTGTCCAGTTGAATTAATAATCGTCATTGGAACGTTTTCACTTTATTACTTTTATTGTAATGATACATTTGTATTTTAATGCATAAAACATTTTTAACCCTTGGCTGATTCAATCGCTGGGTGGGGTGAGGACAGAAGATTCTTCTTCTTCATTATCCTTTCAGTCAGCTTTCATATACCTTGGCAGTGCCCACCTCCTCTCCAATATCTTGTCAACCAGCAGAAGACCGCAGAATATGGTGTGGGCCTTCAGGTTTGCCATTCAGGTTCTCCGTTTATAGGACTAGGTTTGCGTTCCTATTTACCCATAACTGAAGGAGAAGAGATAAATTCATACCTTTCTCAAGAGTATTAGCATATAAGTGAATGTCATAAGTGAATGTCATAAGCTCGACTGGAATTCAAACTCGTCTCTCCGATTTTTAAATCGGAGCCGGTATTTATTGCCTCCTCCAGTTAAAAGTAATTGATTTCCAAGAAAATAAAACAATACAAAACTTTTGTGCCAGCAAAATATGATATTTTACATTATAATTCAAAATGAAAATGTTTTCTGGAACATTAGGAATGCTTTTGTTTATTTATTTTAATTATTCTTTTATGTTTCGTGTCCGTTCAGGATTTTATATTCATCAATCTCCCCAAATTTTCTAAGGAAAGTTTGTCTCCTCTAATATCCATCACAGTCCCTGATCTGCCAACCATTGACATTAACTCGTTAACTAGGTTATTTATTCTTTTATATAATGTGCACTTTCAGGATATAAATGATCATGGCTATCCACAACTTCATTTCCTTTGCACGCAATATTTTTCCTCGTACTTTCGCTCCCAGTAATTTGTCAGCCTGCCATTTACTTCAAAGGCGTTAACTAAGTTACTCGTTGTTTTACTCACTCCTCTTTGCCTTCAATATGTACTATGAGGGTCAAATTCTCTAAGCCCCCTTTCCTCAGTATTTGTCGCGCATAGTTTCTTTCTGGTTTTTAGAAAATATCACAATTTGTTTCTATTTCTCGTAACTCAGACCTTATTCATAGCTTTCTTCCGTAGAAAAAATATCTGTTGCCTCAGTTTTCCTCTTCAAATGATGAAATTGTCAAGCATTTATATCAGATAGGTGGATAGATATCAAATAACAATTAAACACTCTTAATTTTATTTCCAATGGAATTTTCTTAATACTTTGTTTAGTTTGGGGAAGGCATCTTCCACTAATCTATTTGTGTCACATGTTTCATTTTCTCGTATTACACTTCCGAGATAAATTAAATACTGGCCATTTGATTTGACATCTTCAATTTGTAGTTCGCATCTTAGGCTGTCTCTTTTGTTAATGACCATATATTCTTTCTTCTTTAGTATGACGATAAACTATATCCGGAAGCAAGTCATCTGATCGGGAGATCGGAGGTTTTGAGGAGCGTGGAACCACCTCTTAATTGCTGTTACTCCCAGGTCCACCCCAAAGTCAATAGCACATTTTTATTTAAAATGAACAACAATGGAAATGTATAGCAAAATGGCACTCACTACCACACAAAAAATATGAAAAATACATTTTATAGTAAAATTACCAACAATACATTTTATGATCTACAAACTATATACCTAAAACACATATCTTTACTCTGAAAATATAAAATTATGTACAAAATATCTGCAGCTGAAAGTCATAAAATTGTGTTAAAAAATTTAGATTTCGGCATTAAATAATCCATAGGTGTTGATATGCCGCCAACAAAATCAACCAAAAAATTAAATAAAGTAAATTCTCCTTGCTTTTCTTACTATCTTGTCTAGAAGTACCTGCAGTTTTCTTTATGCTGCAATCAACAACTTATATTGTGTCCGCCAGAAATAAATCCTGATAGGACTCCTAGTTCTCTAAATATCTTCTGGCTGTATAGATTTAATATATCCGGGGAGAAGACGCATCGTTTTCCCATGGCCTTTACCACTTTTTTGTATTTGATCAATTCATTTTGCTATTTCTAGGCAGGTTTCTTTATTGTTTTCTATGTGGTTCCATGTGAATTAATCAGGCAGCACTTTGGTGTTGCATATACAGCTGCACTCTTCCATGATGCCCCCTGTAAGACGCCATGGCGTACGATAATTGTTAGAGGTGGGTAGTTTGCTTAGACATTACCATTCAGTAGTAGGTTCGATTCTTTATTCATGTGAATGATTGAGTGGGCATAATAACGAGTCGGAATAAGATATCAGTAGTGTTCGAATTCCAGTCGAGTTCATTACATTATATTACGGGCAAATACCCTTGACAAAAGAATGAATTCATCTCACCTCCTGAGCTTTGATTTAAATAGTAAGATTTGTACCGGAAAAAAATCATTGTTATTCTAAAAAAAAAAAAAAGAAAAAAGTCTTATCGCAATATTCACACGCAGAAAAATGTACTTACAATCAACAAAATATACTTCCGATTTATTGTCCGAATGTTAACTCAATACAAGTCTCAAGAGCCACTGAAGTTAGAGCATTACTGAATGATGTTTTCTGGGCGTAAGAAAATGCAAAAAGTACAGTTCATGAGGTTATGTTTTCTCTTCGCATCTACTGACCTAGAGCCCTATATATTTAGAAAATTAGGCTCAAGCCACTCCCTACCATTCGAGTTGTTGCAACAACTTGAGATCAAGTCTCTCATTAGTTAGTATACACAAAAAATAATTTTCCATAAAGTGGAAATTCATCCTTCACAAATTTTGACGTGTTTTAAGCGCTGAGCCCCCCCCCCCCAAAGGATATACAAGTGTAATAATTTTTTGACACTAACCATTTGGCGTTCATAAAAATGCACTTCTCTTAAAAGATCGCGTAGTAAAAAACTAATCCCAGAGGCTTAAACATTTATTCATGTCTAACATTTTAAAAGTAGTAAAATAGTATATGTATATATGTTTTACCATCTGTTTTTTTCTAACAAATTTCTTGTCTACGATTTTTTGTTTATCTTTCTTTTTTTTTCCGGTTATATAATTGACATTATTTTTTCTTTAAATTCTCTTTGGTTACTTTCATTGTTTTCTTTCTTTCTTTTGGTTTTCTCTGTGGTAACATTATTTCTATTTTTCTTTCTCTTTTTTTCTTTCCTTAATTTTTCTTTTATCCGGTTGTGTTCATATTTTTGATAGGCGTAAACAGTGGTGTCATCGGCTTTTTTACTTAGTTGCAACAGCGTGCAGTTCGTTGATGATGACAAGAAATAAAGTAGTTTCCTTAATGGAGCCATGAGAGACACCAGCATTATTGTGAAATGATCTAGAAGAATAGGCTGACTTGATTTGTTAAGAAAGACTTAATCAAGTTAATTATAAAGCCAGATATACTATAGCCCTTCAATTTGGGGAGAAGGCCAGTATATCAAACCCCATGAAACGCCTTCCAGATATCTAAAGCCACAGCCCGAGCCTCGACATTCTTATCAAAAGTTTTTCTATTGACGCATTCGGTAATAACAATAAACATGTCGGCGCTTGAACTGGAGAAGCGAAAGAAATATTGTTTATCTGAATGAAAGCCGAGCCAAGTGAGATGTTTAACTCATTCAGAGTTGATTAGGGCCTCTAGTAGTTTTCCAAAATAAGGTAGAAAAATAATAGGACAATAATTCGTGTGATCAAAATGTCCATCAGAGAGAGGAACTAGAGAAGAGGGTTTCCAACAAGGTCGAAGACAAGAAGTATCAAGGAATTTGTTGCGGAGTTGTTTGTTGTTCTAGCGAGACAATCTTGCTAACCATTACACCACGCCGAGGTGCCGAGAAGCGTTAGACAGCCGTTGCGTCCTATATTTGTGACTCATCAGCAGCGCGCATTAACTACCAAGAATCGAACCCAGACGTTACGATACGACGCAGACGTCATACCAACTGTACCAACGAGCCTTGGTGAAGGATGTGGCACAAGTCCGAAAGTATGGGGTACCCAGTGAGGATCGAACTCACTACTCGGTCGTAATTGTTCTAGCAAGACAAGCTCGCAAACCACTACACCGCCTCGAGGTGCCCAACTTGGACAGATATATTTGCATATCGGCCTTACGGCCACATCACGCTAAAACACCGGTTCTCCTACGATCACCGAAGCAACGCTGTGACTGGTCAGTAAATAGATGGTTGACCGCTAGGGAATACCAGGTGCTGTAAGCTTCGATATGCGTGTGGGTGTCATAGATATCGACTTGGAATTATTAATCGGAGAGTCAAGTTCAAATTCCCATTGGGTTCGTTTTATCCACCTGCACCAAATACCCTGGGAAAAAGGTATAGATCCAACTCTTCTCAACCAGCAATGGGTTAAATAGTATGACTTGTATCATTAAAACAAAATTATCTAAAAAAAATATTATCTCCAGATAATTCTTGAAATCTAAGAATATGTCCATTCTTTAAATATCCTGCAAAAGGTTGACAGGCTATAGAAATGAATCAGTCGATATATATAGATATCACTCTGTAGAAATGATGTTCTCGGTAAAAATCAGCCAAAGTT